CCCTAATACGCACAGCTGATTCACCGATAAGAACTACGATCATACTTTTCATGCTTTCTCGTCCTGCGACCTCGTTTTTCACTGAAAGCCGGCCATTGAAGGCGGAGTCTGGAGGCGGAGTCACTGGAAAAAGGAGGAACCACTGAACCTATATTGCGCTATAGCGCCCCTCCCTTAGAATTTTTTGCCGCGAAACCGGTACAAGGTTGTTCGTCGCGGACCACTCTAACCTCCTGACGCCATATTTTCAACTTCGATACCTGATCGCGGACCGTGCCTTTAAGCCACGAAGTGATACCATCTCAAGTTTGGGAAAACTACCTGCCCCTCTTGCAAAGAGTATCTTCCAACACTTGTGAAGCAATGAATGCGTCAATTGGCGACAAAGGAAAATGTCCCCCTCCCATCGAGCGAACTGCTCCAAAAAGTGGTCTGAGCCGCGAGGAAATTTTGTCCGATTATTCACTTGTCCCCTTTCATTTCGTTCCGCATTCCCCCCTCCCTTGACCGTTGTTGCCAAAAACTATACAGTTAAATTTCTGTTAGTTGGCTAGTTGGCATGAGTAATTGTTTGGTGACCACTAAGCAGTTACTCATGCCCCTCCCCCACAGCTTCTCGACGGCAGTTTTATGGGAAAATCGGAAAATTTTTTGGGAAAGTGGTAGAAAGTGAAGAACGCTTAGGAAGATGGGCGGTAGGATAAGGAAAGTGAAGACATGCCAGACCAGGAAACATTGAGGGGGAGGTTGCAGTGACACTACCATTCTATATATCAGGAGACTGTACCCAGGGGCAAGGTATCGAAGCGTCTAGAGAGCACTTGATCTCGACTGCAACCATGAAGTAGTACTGGGAATGATCAATCCCATTCAAGCCTTCCATGTTGGGTAGGGACCAGGAATTTGGTATCTGACTTGTCTGGGACGACAAAACATGTCTCATGCATCAGCTAGCCTTTCTGGCCCGGACAATTCATTCTAAAGGCCACATTGCTATTGAAGTGCTGCTACGATTGATTTTGAATGGGAGTGGACTACATGGCCTATCTCAGAGGGAGTTGGCCAACACCAAAAGCTTTTCCTTTACTGTAGATCCTTCCATACGTGATTTAATCTCTTCCAGTGGTCAGTTTCTGCTGTACTGGTCCGCTCTAGTAGGCGTGGCGACGAGTAGTCCTGCCTGATTTTTGAATCTGGGTGTGAAGGGACGGGAAAGTTCGATGTCGCAGTCATGGAGTCTTGTCACCACTTGAATTCATACAAGTTTCACTGCTTCAATCAATAAAGTGGTGTGCATCGGGTTTTTGCCGCGTACCGCGATACGGCGCGCGCGACGACGCGACAAATACGATACGATTGTCTTGTCCGTCTCCCGGAAAAATGTCCGGTTCAGTTGATTGGGGTTGAGGATTGATGTGCTTACGCTATTACATTGGCTTTCTATGAGTGTTTGGCAGACTTGTGTACTAATGTGTTGTTGAACGGCCGGAGTAGCTTTGGATGCACCCATGAAGCTTTCATGTTGAGCCATGAGGAGAGATTGTCGATCGCTTGTCGGTTGTTAGTTGGCTAACGGACATGTCTTTTGTAGTACACTGTAAGATCGGCACGCGGCGCCGAGTACAGCGCGATCGTCGGTGGATGAACATCAGGGTGTTTTTTTTTCTCAGATGGGGGACCAACTCGGGAAATTCCTCTTTTTTACTGGAAACTCCGCGCTATTCAGGCAAATGGAGCAGGGCAGATCAATTGTTGCGGGTCTTGGTCGAGTCCGTCCGACGACCCCTTTTTTAGGGGATTGATGTGAACCCCCTGTTCCCTCCATGCGACCCCCACGACTCCCCTCTACCCATTTCTCAGATTCCAATCTTACCACTTTTTCCAAACTTTCCCAAAAACTTTCCTAGTTTTACACACAAATTTTGCTGTAGAGCGGGTGGGGGGGTATATACAGTAGTTCCATGAAACGGAAGTCAGCAACCTTTCTCAGCACGCCAGAAGAACTCCCTCCCTCCCAACGACGAGCAAATACGACCCCCCCCCTTTACAACGTCATTGAAACAATAAAAATCAAGTAGCAAAAAAATTTTTTCTCGGCTCAAAGACCCTCCCAGCGACCAACTACCCCACCCCCGTCGGGGAATACCGAACAAAGATGTGCCCTGGTTGGGGAATGATAGGCGCCGCCACTATGCCTAGGGGGTGGAATATCTTGCACTTTCGCCAGTTTCTTTTGCTACTTGTCCTTGAATTACACGTCTCACCGTGGTGGGACCTAGAGACACTTGCGGAGTGTAAGAAGCTCATTCTACTGCGCAGCTTTACTGGGGCCCAGGTATCCGAATGAGGTGTCAGATCGATGAGAACGAATAAAATACCCCCACCAAGCCGAAGTGCTAAACCCTGCTAACTATTGGATTTTCCAGATGGAAGATGACTGCCCTCAAGGTGGCGACGATGTTCGTTTGTGTCTCTTGAAGACGTTAGGCGCACATAATCAACGTGTAGTCCCGTGCGTTGGATGCCATAGGGATATGATTGTAAGTCTCTTACCCTCCTACTTTTCAATGTATGCATTCTCAGAACTGAATTCTTTTATTTTTCAAAGTATTCCAGAGCTTTTCTTCTTATCTTTTATTCGGAGTTCGGAAAACTCGACGCTATACGGCTACCCATTCACAGCATCACCAAAAGTTGTGTGTGTGGGTGTGTGGAAGGGGCGGGGAGTAGACACCCCTGAGGAACTAGCAGATATAGTAGTACAGTAGTTTAGCCGTGCCACCCACCAATTAGAGGGTGTGGGTAAGTTGGGTGGCTAATGGGGTTACACCGCGTGTGGTTAACTTGGTATAATATCTTAATCATGAGTTCAACAATCTTCTCTCTGGTGTCTAGTTGTTTCTCCATCTTAACACGTTTAATTGGTCTTTATGATCTCAAGCCCTTCTTGCCGTTGGTGATACCTTGCTTGCTGTTCGCTGTACCCAGGCTTTGCGCTGTACTCGATCGTGTATCCAGACTTATTCGTCTTTTACTTCCCTCTAACTGTCGCCAGTGGGCACATATAGCTTGAGTCCTTTTGAACAATCTATTTTGGATCTAACTTCTCTTGATTTAGCTGTTGTTCAAAGCCTCCTCTAAGCCTCTCGGCAACCATGTCCTGGCCTCTGTTCCAGTTGTCTGAAGGTGACATACATCTTACCTGTACTTTTTCTCAATTGATTCCGCACAGACTTTGCGCAGCGCTTTGTGTGATTCTTTTCTGGTTCGTGATATGCTTTTCAGAACATGGTAAACTTTCGTATAGGCCTTTTTTTCCTGTTATGTTGAAAGCTCTCAAAAGTCGTTAATTATGGAAGTTTTCTTTCCGATTATTATATTTCTGTTCATTTTTAACCAAATACACGTTTCGGGCTGTCGATTGTATGGGGTTTATTTTTCTTTTAGTTTTGTTTTTGCGACAACTAAGCATTTATTCATCCATGCTATTCTCTTTTGCGCGTGGGGATTCTGCTTACTTCAGTCCATTACCTCATACCTGAAATTGCCTGGCGCAGTTATATTCCCAACATTCGTGTCCCCATTACTCGAATTGTTATTCATTTGCATTGTTGATGCATTATTTCATATTAAATAATAATAACTGTTATTATTATTTTATTTTATTTTAAATTGCATAATCATTGAGCGGTTTCGCAAAGTTGTTTTTTCCAGGTCTACGATCGATATCCTCTTGTTGACGGTGTTTTCTTCTTGTCACCCGTGTGCCATTTCGGTCCGCCTACGGAGGTTTGTTTGATTATTGTTTATTGATCAACTCAAATATGGGCAGGGTACCGCATCTTCAGGGCTTATTTAATCAAGGGGTCGAAAAAGGGAATACTTTCAACTTTTTTTCTACTGTTTTTGTGCAGAGTGCCCCTCACCGCACTCAACAATTTTTTTGTGGAAGAGTGGAGGTAGGGGAGATAAGCACGTAAGTGGAGTTGGGCTTCTAGAATGCAGGGGATCCCTGTTTGGGGTGGAAGCGGAAGGTGAAAGCTCGCGCCGTAGGCCTGTTTTATTGCCACGATGTACGCTCCTTATCCCTGAGATGGAGTAGGCGTGGCATCTGATCATGGCGTAGGACGGGTTACTCGTAAGATATTACAGTTTGAGACAACTGTCACCTTGTTCTGTGTAGCTAAAGACATGACCATATTTGTCCTAAAAGGAAAAAATATCACCGAAAGTGCTATCACCGCCACGTGTAGTGGAAGCACGCAGCCACGCCTACCTCATCTCAGGGATTTCGAGTGTATCTTGTTAACGGCTATTTAACAGATTTATTAGAGAAGAGGCGGTCGAGAGAGCGGATAAAGCTGTTTTCCTCCATTTAGAACGATCTAGAAAAAAAAGCAACAGACGATCGAGGAAAAAGCATCAAACTATTGGTTCTGGGATGTAATAAACGATAAAAGTTGTGCCATTGAACAGTCCCTTCTTGGGATGCGGCATGCATTCTGCTTCCGCTCCCAGATCCCAGTATGTCGCCTATACAATGACTTGCGGGGCCAACTGATGTACTGGTTAGCGTCCTTGTCCTCCCAGACAATTTACTCTTCGGAATCTAGGAAATTT